TTCATGCATCTTTTTACTCCCCTTCCCCAGTGCAGGATGTTCTTGGTTCACCTACTTCCTAGTTTCTGACCACTTTTGTCCATTTCCTCCAAGATTCTCTTTTTGCCCGACCCTTAAATGTTATAGGGTCTCAGGCCTGTCCATGGTCTTCTCCTTCTGCCCATTCTTCTTGGATTATCTTAACCATACTGTTGGCTTTGACCACATATGTGCCACCAAATCCTGAATTGTACAGCTAGATTATTTTTCTCTACTTTCAGTTATCTACTACACACCAGGGCGTTTTGACTGCAGGTATCTCACGTTCAAAATTTCTCGTCTTCTCAGGTCTGCCTCCCACCTCACTCCTGTCTGCTCTGAATCTGGGACTCTTCATTTATTTCACCTGATGGTTCCAACCCCCATGGCCTTGCATGAGCTGCACACCCAGTGTGATCCTCAGTTCTTCTCCTTTTCCACCCCCCTCTTCTGTGTGGACACTGAACTGTCTTCCCCATCTGTTGCTCTCAGATCTGTCTTCTCTTTCTGCCTCTCTGCCACAGTGACCTCCTGCCTGGTCTCTCTCCTTCCGATGTGTTTCTTCTTTGCCTCTATAGTGGTTTTCTGGAATATATTTGATTATGCCCTCCACTAGTGGTACTCCATTGTGTATGGTGTGGGAATTTGTGGCCGCCTTAATTCAGTCTCTGCTTACTCTTTTTGTGAGTTTCCTACATCCGCTGTAACAAATTACCACAACAGAAATGTATTTCCTCCTAGTTTTGGAGACCAGAACAATCAAGGTGTTGCCAGAGTTGACTCAACTCCTTTTGGTGCATCCAGGGAGAATCTGTGATGTGCTTTCTTCTAGTTCCTGGTGGCTGCTGGCAGTCCTGTGTTCCTAGGATGGTAGATGCATCACTCCAGTCTCTACCTCTGTTATCACAGGGCTTCTTCCTGTTTGTCTCTGTGTCTTCATTTGGCCTTCTGATAAGGATACAAGTCACTGGACCGGGGCCCACCCTGATTTATCATGACCTTATCTTAATTTAACTAATTATATTTGCAAAGACCTATTTCCAAACAGTATCACACTCTAAGGTTCCCGGTGGTCATGAATTAGGGGTGGGGGGCAGTATTCAACCCAGCACACCCTTCTGGCCTCTGCTCTGGCCACTTCCTCACTCACAGGCTTGCTCATTTACCCTGGTGCTCTGGATGAGTGAGAATTCAACAGACAAGCAAGAAGGAAAGGATTCCAAGCAGAGGAAAGAGGATTCCAAAGGGCCACAGAGGTGACATTTGTGCTGAGTCTTAAGAGAAGGCTTCGTTTTATTTTATTGCCGCACTGTACTTTAAGACATCTTTCAGGTGTTACCTCTTTTATGAAGCTTCCCTGACCACCTCCCCGGGGACTTTTCTGTTGCCTCAGTACTTAGTACCTATACGTTTTGATGATTTAATGACCAGCTTGTGTTCCCACCTGTCCTGTGTGATCTTGGGGTAGACTCTGTGCCTAGTCTGCAGGGGCCATGCATCCAGCCCACTGCCTGGCACGTAGCAGGTCCCCAGAAGATGTTTTCGAGTGAATTTACCCATCTGCACTGAATCTTGTAAGATGAGGTTACATGCATTTTAGGGGAGGAGTTGTTCAGTCCGAACTGGATGGTTCTTTGCCGTCGATGAGGTAGAGAGGATTTGAATATGGAGGGAAGTTGTACTGGCTCACCCTCTAGGTTCCTTCCATCTGGAGGTTTCTGTTGTTCTAACTATCACCTCTTCCAGAAACAGCACACATTTTTAAGGCAGATAGACTGAAAATTGTAGTTGGACAGCTGCTTGGTTCCACAAGGATTTGAGAAGTTTCCCTATTCTTGGAAGAGCTCAATAGTCACTCGAGCATCACGCAAAATAGTGCCATTATGGCTTCAAGAGATGCTGAGCATCCCAGGCCTCATGTGGAGTTGACACAGCTTAGGAACAAAGCTGTTTCCATCTGCAGATGCACCCTCAAAGCCCTGCAGCTTTTCCATATTTCTTACTTGGTCAAAAGGATTTCAAAGACTAATTTTATGGGGTTTTTTTGGATTCTTATTTCCTGTGTTACTACATTTTTATAGACTCACTGGAAGTTGCCTTTTTATTTTTGGTGGGAAAAAATAAATAAAAAGAGGTTTAAGTGTGGAGAAAACCAAGCTATGGAACATTAAATGACGTTACTATAGGGTGATCAAGGTACAAGGATATTTTAGGGAAATTTATACCCAATATGTAATTTGTTTTTCTAATTACAATGAGCTGTGCGGAGCTATTCATTGTACCACTTATTGTACCAAATTATTGTGCCACTTGGGCATGTTTAAAAATGCCACAGACTGTAAATAGTCACTTATTAATTCAAGGGAACAGTTTGAGGTGAAATGCCATTATTCAAATGGCTTTGAAACAAAAGTGACTTGTATAGATGTTTCACAAGCCCATTTTAGAAACAGTTTTCTCCCTGCGGTTTCCAGATAGAATGCCTGGCTTTCATGGTTATAGAAGCAGCAGAAATTCTGTGTCATACAGTTATGTTTTTAAACTAATGGGCACCCTTCCGATTGGGCATGAATTAAACGAACATTCCTCCTCCCCACAGCCAGCTATGAATTATGCAGCCAAAATTCAGCTAATCACAGCCTGCTGTGTGTGTCATTGTGTAGCAGCCCTTTGCAAGTTGGGTTAATACTTTTGAGACACCTCATCCCATGCCAGAATGCCAAAGTAAAGCAGCTGTCTTGGTAAGAGGGCTTTGCAAAGTTTTGGGGCCATTTGTGCTTATTTCTCTCTTGCGTCTGGGGCAGAGATTCCTTATGTGGCCTGGGGCAGAGATTCCTTATGTGGGTCTGTGATAGTGACAGGAGGCCTGCAAACTAGGATAGGAAAATATATGACAGCTTTATTTTTTATTCACTTCCAATTGTGCTTATTTCTCTTTTGTGCCTGGGGCAGAGATTCCTTATGTGGGTCTGTGATAGTGACAGGAGGCCTGCAAACTAGGATAGGAAAATATATGACAGCTTTATTTTTTATTCACTTCCAACTAAAATTTAGCTTAAAAAAGTTTTTATGTAGGCAACAATCCATAGTGATATTAGCAGTACCTGTGAGTTTGTCACCCACAGAAAATCACAGATATCCTGGAATATCATTTACTCTTCACAACTTCAAAGTGTCAATAGCTGTTAGATCATCTGCTAGATCCTATTTTAAGTATGAATAAAGAAGTGGATTCAAAATATTAGTATTTTGATAACTGTATATCAATACTCTATTTCTTTTATGAACCTCTATATATTATTTTATGCACTTAAAAACAAGGAAAGATTGAAGAACTGTCACAAAACCAAGGAGTCTAGGGAGACATGGCAATTAAATGCAGTGGGTACCCTGGATTTGATCTTGGGACAGGAAGAGGACAATAGTGGAAAAACAACCAGTGTGCTTTACAAATAAAAGTCTGAAGTTTAGTTTCTGATAATGGCACGTGCCAGTGTTGGCTTCTTAGTCTTGACAAATGTATCACAGAAATGTGAGTCATTAGCAATGGGGGAAACTGAGTGAGGGGCTGATGGGAATGCCGTGTACATCTGAAATTACAGTGAGGGTCATGTTGTGGGGTCTGCCGTCCACTCCCAGAAATGTTTGCGGGGGAGGGTTTCATGTCAACTTAAGGCCATCATGGCCTCTTCCGTTACAGCTCCGAGAAATGGTGGAGATAGACCCATCCAAAAGTAAGGAGAAGTTTTCCATAGGAGTAAAGTACTTGAGAGTGTGTTCAATTGGAAGAAGATGTCTCTGGGTTCAGAGAGGTTGGCAACATAGTCTGATTCTCACTTACCGGCTTTGTGATCTGGGGCCAGAAACTGCTCCCAGCTTTCTCTTCCCATTTGCGGAATGGAGCCATATATAGAGTCCCTGTCAGCGTTGCAGTGAGGACTGAGCGTAACATGTCCACCTAGCTAACCTTTTTGTGGTTACCTGGAGTGTTTGAGTGCCTATTCCATGCCAGGCCCTTTGCTAAGCATTTTCCATCAATTATCTCCTTTAATCTTCACGACACCTCTATTCCATGACCTTTTCATAGATAAGGAAACTGAGGGTCAGAGACTCGGTAACCTCACTCCCCAAGGCCACAGTGCTGAGCTTCAGTTCAGATCTGTGCTGACTGCCGTTTACAGTCTCTTCCTAAGTCTTCTGCTGAGGCTAAGCCATCTCTGACCAACTGGTGGTCTTGGTTACTGGGGTGCTCCTCACCCTCTCTGACGTGCGAATCCCCTCTTGTTTGGTGTGTGTCTGCACCCTGATCTGGACGCTCTCCTCTTGATTCCCTTGCTTGTTGTAGATGGCCTTTCTGAGCCTCAGTTTATCCAACTATACAATGAGGGTGTTGGACTGCCTTCAAAGTCTGTTCCACGTTCATTCTGCATTCTGTTAATTCAACTGCTTATTTCAGCTGTCTTATTGGGATGATTACTGAATCACTGAAGTCAAAGCTTTTCTAATTTGTTTTGGGGGAAGTTACATGTTTCTTTGGCATTTTCCCAGATTCCAGAGGAGGGCAAAAATGGAGCCGTATGCCTTAGTTGCTTCTTAAAACCACAAAAATTAAACAACAAAAACCCAGCAGAAGCCTTTGTGATAGTTACAGGTTTTCTAACTGGGATTTTGTTCAGGGAATGGGAGTAATTTTATTTTTTTATTTTCCTTCTGTGATTAGAATGTGCACACCATGTGTCACCGTGCAGTTGCTGATTACTTCAAATTAATACCTATGAAAGAAAAAAAAATAGGTAGTTACCAGTGTCAGGTATTACCTGGACAGGGGAATTTAGCCATAAGAAGTAGTTATTAGGTAATGAGCCCGATTTCCACAATGCATATTGGTCTCAAGATGTGAGAAAATGAGAGCATCACTTGGTGCCGTTAGGTTACTGCGTGGGGGTTCTGTTAAGCCCGTGATTTGTTCTCTTGTTTTTCAGTTTTTCCCCTATATCCTGTTGCTCTTTGCGATCCTCCTGTACCTGCCCCCGCTGTTCTGGCGTTTCGCAGCTGCTCCTCATATTTGCTCAGACTTGAAGTTTATCATGGAAGAACTTGACAAAGTTTACAACCGTGCAATTAAGGCTGCAAAGAGTGCGTGTGACCTTGACATGAGAGATGGAGCCTGCTCAGTTCCAGGTGTTGCTGAGAACTTGGGGCAAAGGTAACTTAGCCCCAGCAGGCAGCTCATCGGGTTTTGTAGGACAAATTCTCTGCCCTTCTACTGCCAGTCTGGGCCCAGAGTTCTCACTGCTAGGAGGTGGGGCAGGAGTAGAGGCAGGGGGATGTCATGCACCTAGTGACAGCCTGTAGGATCCAGGGATGTCCACTCTCCCCAAATCTCGCCCCGACCCATCCCACCCATTTGTTTGTCCTTCTGTCAAGACTCCTTCCCTTGATGAGTGAAACATTACCATCTCATTTTAAAAATGCAGTTCTTGTAGGGGTAACAGATTTAGGTACTATATGAGGCTTGCTTGCTTTGATCTATTTAACTCCTTAATGGAGATGCACAGAGGATTTCAAGGCAGCTGAGCAAGGGATGAGAGAGAAATGGGGAAGGAGTAGGTTGTGCCCTGCCTTTTCACATTCTTCCTTTGGTTCTTGTTATTGAATAATTGGAATAATAATATTAAGAACCATCATTTTTTGAATATTGAATATATCCCACACACCATATTGAGTTATTTAAGTACATTATCTCCTTTAACCCTCAGACCAATGTTACTAAGTGCATTTGTTAACCTCCCCCTCCACTTTTATTCTGGATAAAAACACTCTTCTATAGCTATAAGTAAGAGTGCTGGAAACTGAACCATGCCCTTTAGACCCCATAGTTTGTGCCCACACCCCCTGAGCTGTCCCACCCCTCGCCTGTAAGAGGCATGTGTTTACAGGTATTTAGGATTTACCAGATGCCAGGCATCATTCTAAAAATTTCCAAATATTAGCCCATTAAATTAACTAGGCCTTCTATTAAATATTAAGGGGAAAAGTATTTTATTATTCCTTTTCTTCCTCCTCTTTTAAACGGATTTTATTTTTGACCACTCTACTGAAGTTGTAGGTAAAGAAGTATGGGTGTTTGAAATTTTTAGTGTGACATTGTTGAATGTGTATCTGCCTTTAATATTTGGTGGTCTTGATGAGTGCCTACATTATTTTTGTTTCCTTTATGTTTTAGTTTGTGGGAGATATCTGAAAGCCACTTCAAGTACCCAATTGTGGAGCAGTACTTGAAGACAAAGAAAAATTCTAATAATTTAATCATTAAGTACATTAGCTGCCGCCTGCTGACACTGATCATTATACTTTTAGCGTGTATCTACCTGGGCTATTACTTCAGTCTCTCCTCACTCTCAGATGAGTTTGTGTGCAGCATCAAATCAGGGATCCTGAGAAACGACAGTGCCGTGCCCGATCAGTTTCAGTGCAAACTCATCGCCGTGGGCGTCTTCCAGTTGCTCAGTGTCATTAACCTTGTGGTTTATGTCCTGCTGGCTCCCGTGGTTGTCTACACGCTGTTTGTTCCGTTCCGACAGAAGACAGATGTTCTCAAAGTGTACGAAATCCTCCCTACTTTTGATGTTCTACATTTCAAATCTGAAGGGTACAACGATTTGAGCCTCTACAATCTCTTCTTGGAGGAAAATATAAGTGAGGTCAAGTCATACAAGTGTCTTAAGGTACTGGAGAATATTAAGAGCAGTGGTCAGGGGATCGACCCAATGCTACTCCTGACAAACCTTGGCATGATCAAGATGGATATTGTTGATGGCAAAACTCCCATGTCTGCAGAGACGAGAGAGGAGCAGGGGAACCAGACGGCAGAGCTCAAAGGTAGGGTTTGCTTTTGGCAGAGGCTACAGGAGCCCACCGAGAGCTTTTGCAGCAGCCTTGTGGGAATATTGACAGTCTTTACCCTGCCAATCATTTAAACCATTTCCAAGCATTAAAAACCTTAATACCAAGGTTGGGGGGAGGCGGTGGGAGCCCCTCAGTATTGAGAGAGAGAGGAAAATAATTGGTGCTCCTCTACATTTCCAAAGAAGGATAACTTCTGTGCTTTTTCTAGTGTTTCCCTCTTCTCTCTCTGTCTCACACTCTGTCTTGCTCAGCACTCTTTCTTGCTTATTTTTGTCTTATCTTACTGGTTTTCCTCTCTGTACCTCTGATCTCCTCTGTTACTCTCTGACTTTCTCTTTCAAAGGGGACTGAAAGTTTATTGATTCATTTTCTTGTCCTAACTTCACTGTGCTCTGAAGTTAGGCTAAGAAGCAAAACATGGTATAGACTGTGAGAGGAATTTTTGGCAGAAGAGAAATTGATTAGTATTGATAATTCCTGCTATATTTCTGTCATAAATATTTGTTTTCAATTTTGACAGATACGAACATAGACAGTGAAATTAAAGCAAATAATGGAAAGAAGAATGCCCGACAGAGACTTCTGGATTCTTCTTGCTGATGATTTTTTTCCTTGAGCTGAAAATCTGTGACATCTGTGACATAGGATTTAATTTGGCTAAAGCACCCCTGTTGGTTTCACAGCTGATTTGCAATAAATGGTTCTTGGTGGAGATATTGAGCATGTCTTACTGAGTCCCTAATGGAAATGGTGATCAACAAAAAGTTATGGAAGAATGGTTTATGATCTTCCCATAGGAAGCACCTGAGAGATAAGTAAACTGCAGCAAGTAACTATATGTAAGTCCTCATCAAATGAAAAGCAGAAAGACAAGAACGATTAATCAAGAGCAGTAGCCCTGTCAGAGCCTCGGAGCAATACGTTTCTGTACCCGTGGTGAGACAAGACCCACAGCTACTGGAAAGCAAGCACGTTGGGAGATTTGTTTTGCTTTCATGGAATAATAACATGTCGGGATATAATTTAACATGAGTTTCTTATGTGCCCTTAAAGACCATTAGACAAGAAAAGCATTCACTGGCTAATGATCCATAGATCGACCTGTATCCTAAGTTAGGTGTAAGGTCCAATGCCTTGGCCCACATTCGAACTCTCTTTACACTGTTAGTTGTCAACCTTGTAAGGTTGATGGAAGTCCCGTCACCACTACTTGTTGTACTATGCCTTGAAAGGCAGCAGGCCCAAGCGCTGCTCTAACTGAAAACTGAGTTAACAAGATGAAATCTAAAGGATATTCATAGTGACTTCAATTCAGGAAGAATGCTTCCAAAAGAGCCCAGGGGGGAAATCTGACATCACAGAAGACATTAATTCAGTCACTTTCGGAGAGTTTGTCTACAGGATGTTTCTCTGTTTTCAAAGGCATTTGAAACAGGATTTTACTTAAACAATAATGGAACACAGGAGTATTTAAAGTGACGAACACTTGGCCTGAATGTGATCAGGGCACGTAAATGACATTGGCGTGCTTCATATGGCGTGCTTGAAGCCAGAAAAACTTAGCAGTTTATTTTGTTTATATTTAAGCACAGCTTTAAAAAATTCATTTTCATTTATTCAGTGTCCGAATTGAGACCATTTGGGAAGAAAATTCTAGCACTGGCGGAGAATTATAGAATAAAGATTACAAATGGTTGGATAAGACAAATGTAAGCTTATTTCATAAACATTTAAAGCTGATTCAGAAAATGTTCAAAACTGTTCCCAATTCCAACTATGTAAATCCTATGTTCACATTTTACACATACACACAAAAAAAATCTTTAACATCTGTGGAACTTCCCAGTTTTAGTCTTAGAAAGTTAGCACGTTGCATAAGTTGAGTAATCCTCAGGAACCTCCAAGTTTACTTTTGGCTCTTACAGACAGTTGTTTACATAATCTAATTACTGTTTTCTGAAGAACGGAAGTTATATAAGCTGCTGTCTGCCTTTCAGAATATTCAGAAAAGCAGATTTTATTTGTAGTTCTATGATGTTTTCTGAAATGGAAAGCTGATGATAAATATCAAAGCAGCAATCAGTGCTTTAAGTTATTCTGTTACATGATATTTATTACTGTTGAATTATGCTGTGACTTAGAAATGGCAGTAACCTAAATAATTGAATTTGCAAAATTATTATATTGCCATATCTGAGATGTTCCATCACAAATTTCTACGTTGGTTTCTTTTGAAAATTTAAAAAGATTTATGAGATATATTTTCTAGGATATGATTTTTTTTTTTTTACAAAAAGCTTCATCTTCTGTAGACTATCCGTAATTTGTATTTTGAAATGGTAAAAATTGATATTTTAGGAGACCAGGAAGTCTCCAAGCCATTCCCACTCTCTGAGCTCTAGTAGGATCTGTGATGTCCCAGTCACCAGTACCAGGTTGGATATACAGATACGCATAGGCAGGTCCCATCCTTGAGGACTTCAGAGTCCGGTAAAAGGCAGCAGAGACGTGGGCTGGTGCCTAAGAGGAGAAAGTGTAGCCACAGTAAAGGCTATGCCAGAAAACTCCTAGCAAATGCCCTGTGTTCTTGGGAGAGGCCACATTATTTTTGTTTTCTCTCCTGCAGTTTCTGTACCTGCTGGTTTTGAGAATATAGTTATCATTTTTCCCAGAGGCAGATGACCACCTTAAGGTTCTTTAGCTGCAAATCCCCTAGGTTGAAATCTGCGCAAAATAGTCGCAGTGATTTTGAATAGTAAGGGATCCAGTTGCCTTTTGAACCTTCCCTCGCAGGGATGAGAGAACAAGCCTGTGGAGGATGTGGAGCCACTGTTGAACAACTGTCAGGGCCCCAGAAGGCTGGTGTGGAGGCCTGGGGATACCTTTCAGCTTGGAAAAAAAAGTATTATTAGGACAGGTAAACTCATCCATCTACTGTGAGCTACTGGCTTGGAGAACGACTTTTGAGGAGTCAGTTTCCTGAGGAGAAATGCTTTTATAAAAGCACTCATTGTTTTGTAAAAGGAGACAAACAGATCCTAAATGACCACTCCAGGGTTGCTAATTTTGTTTCTGGCTCACATCTGCCTAGTAAACCACCAGCAAGCTGCTGAACCAGGCTGGAAACAAGTGTTGCAGCTGGGAGGGACACAGAGTACTCTGAAAGCAGTGTTCCAACACATCTTCACTTTTACGAAGGGATAGGCAGATACTTCCATCATAGAGATTCTTAAACTTCGAGGGGTTACAACACCCTTGCAAATATTTTTATAGCTATGGACCCTCTCCTCAGATCTACAGCCAACATTTTCAGTGCACCTTAGGAGGTCATTGTAGTCCATGCCTTTGAAAAAGCTGTGCTCCAATGGCTGAGGAGCAAGCCACACAGCAGACAATGGGGCTCCCTTTGCCTTCATGAAAGCTACTTCCCCCAACACTAAGACTCAGCTGTACGTTTGCTTAGCTCAGTCACGTTTACATTCTTCTGGATGAACTGTACCTTTTGAGTACCTGCCTTCATTTTCTAGAGTCAGACCTAACGAGGTCAGTAGAAGCCTGGGCAGCAGCGGGCCTAGAAAGACCAGGCAGCCGGCATGAACTGCTGTTCTCTCCCTGACCACAAGGCGTTGTCTTCCTCCAGGGTCAAGTAATTGTTCCTGTTCCGCTTCACAGGAATGTGGGGAGGAAGGACATAACACTATAACATGCTATGTCCTACCTTACAGTTGTACTGTGAGAAAGCTGGAAACTTCCACCTGTTCAGTGGGTCTGGTTTGCATGTTTATGTTTCGTTTGTGGGAACTGCTTGTCCAAGAGAGAGCTCAGGTCAGGGCAGTTTGTGCCTGTGAGAATTAGCTCAGCTATCAGAGGCAGATTTTTAGACACCTTTTTAAAATGTGCTCGTGTTTGGTTTGTTTTCCTTATTATCAGTCCTGGGTCAATCAAAGGTTTGAAGGGTGAGAATTTTTATGCACTGCTGTATCACAAGTGCTTAAAACAGAGACTGGCCCAGATGAGGCATTCTGTAAATGTTTGTTGAAATGAATGGACAAACTCTTAGGATAAATCCTAATTTGTTGGCAACTGTGATTTGATTTTAGAAGGCAAATGTGATTTTATTTTTAGAAAGGAGAAGGGAAGGGGAGGCTCATTAGCCTCTTGGTAGAGAGAGGAATATTTCTGCAAATGAATAGGTTTCCACCTTAAGTAGTGATGGTCCTTAACTTCTTATTATGGAGTGAGTCTTGACCACTTTCCAAATTCAATACAACTTCAAGATTGCCTTTCAGTGATTAGGGAAATTGAAGCTTTAAAAGAATAAACCTCTTAAAAGGGGATGTTGATGGAAATGTACAATTACCAGTAATTGAGGTTTTATCTGAGGGGATGGAGATGATGAAATGGTTCCTTCTGAGAAGTTGTTGGCATTTTGGCTTTATTTTTCACAAATAAAGTGAAACCATTTAAACCGATTGACATTGATATTGTGTCATGTGGAATACAATAGATATTAATTTGTGGTTGGTTTTTCTGCCTGCTTTAAATGAAATGTATTATGTTTCGGGTTTCCTCTTTTAGCTGTAAAAATACTTCGTCACTAAAGCATGAAATTTAATCAGCAATTGTTCTTCAAGTTCCTGAAAGCTATAAAAGTTTCTCATGACTTGAGTGGTTTTTTTCCCTGCCCACCAGAGGAGAAAGCCCTTGTAGAATTCTGCAGTGTTACAAGCGTTCCCTATAAAAACTGAAACCATCAGCTACTCTTTAACAAGCTGGCTTTTTAAAAGCACGTAATTACAATTTAATGGTATTCTGTAAAATGGTGCTCTAGGCATAATTTAAATTCTTTTTAATGACTATATTTCTTCAAAACTTTGAAAGAAAAGTGTGTGTTCTTTTTGCTGCATCCTTTGTAAGAAGACTGCCAACAGATGAAGAAGGACTTTACAAATTAAGGCCATCTTGGTTTCATTTCCACAAAGATGAGAACAAATCATGGTGTTAAGAAAGGATCCTTAGAAGAACACAAGAATCTTGAAAGCCCTTGGTGGTTATCACTATTATATTTCATATTTCCACAGAAGTCACTTAGCCAAGCTCTGCATTTTGAGCCTGCTGACTTTCATTTAAAGAAGAATGAAAGGCTGAAAATCCAGGCTGCTGTGTCTGTAGATAAAGGTCAAACCATGTTTGAGTTCTTCACTGTTGTGTCCACCTAAATAAAACTGAGTAAGTAATGAAAAATGTCTTAATATTTCTTGCCTTCCCTTTCGGGTGAGTCATTTCATGGAAGATGTAATGGGAGATGCATTCCAAAATGTCTTGAGGCTCATTCCTCTCTGCTGGAAACATAAAATTCAGTAGGCTTCATGCTACTTGCTAAAATCCAGCTGGTGGTAACTAAAGGAAGAAAATCCTTGATTATGGGCCCACAGATTCTGGAATTTCTAAAGCACAAATCACTTGCTTTCTGATTGAGGATTGTTTGCCTGGGCTTGGGAAAAAAAGATCAGCAACCATGTACTGCTAAACATGGGTTCTCCTGCTCACCTCTCTCAAGAGGAGGACTCCTTTGTACAATGGTCAATTAGTGCAGCTTGCTATTGTGGGTAATCAGAGCCATGTGAAATTTTAGTGCCATTCCTGGCATATCACAAATATAGTAAATTCTCTCTAAATGCTAGCTTTGACTATCTTGCTCACTGGCTGTTCCC